ATCCAGACCAAATGCAGAGAAAGAAGGAGCAGTTCACAGAAGGGCAAATCCCCTGGTAAGAATGGTAGGCTTTCGGTATCTTCTCATATAAATTTATTTATATTGAAATACTCAAGGCAGTTTTCCCTCAATTTTTAGAGCAATTTTGTTTCTGCTAATTTCTCAGACACCAGCATGAAGGACAGTTAACGTGAATTACACTGATCTTTTGTACAACGATTGAAATACAGGTAGTCCTCGATTTACCACCAGAACTGAGCCCAAAATTTATGTTGCTAAGTGAAACATTTGTTAAGTGAATTTTGCCCCATTTTACAACCTTTCTTTCCACAATTGTTAAGTGAACAACTGCAGTTGCTAATTTAGTAACATGGTTGTTAAGTGAATCTGGTTTCCCCACTGACTTTGCTTGTCAAAAGGTTGCTAAAGGGGATCACATGACCCTGGGACTGTTATGACTGTTATAAATATGAAGCAGTTGCCAAGCATTTGAATTTTGATCATGTGACTACTGGGATGCTGCAATGTTATAAGTGTGAAAAATAGTCATGTCCCTTTTTCAGCACTATTGTAACTTTGAATAGTCACTAAATGAACTATTGTAAGCTGAGGATTACCTGTATTAGTATGGGACATGTTAATAAGTCTGATTACTAATGCACTATTGATTATCCCTCATAATAAACATTGAATAACCTTCATGGGATTCTGTGAATGAAGAGATGTGCAGGGGTATGTATGTGACTGTGTCTGTGTGTCTGTGTGTGTGTGTGTGTGTGTGTGTGTGTGTTTTTCTGCTCGGTTAGTCCCGCCTATGTTTAGAAGACTTATGATTTATGATTTAATTTGAGCATTAGATTGAAGGGAAAATAAAATGTACAATCTGTTGATCTTTATCTGATCTCTTGATCTTAAAATCAAAATAGAGTCAAAGAGCTGAAAATGATTTAGGGTATCATTTAGGTCAGCTCAGTGCAATATTTGCAGGACAGAATGGAACTTCACAGCCATACATACCATATCTCTAGCAAAAAGAAAACCCAATAACTCCTGAAATAGGTTGTTTAAATGTTAAAAACTCTTATCACTAAGTTTGAAGTGTTATGCCAAATCATCTTTTCTGCAATGATATGTCTTGGTTGTAATTGCAGTGCTTATGGTTTAGGGCGGGTGTGAAGTATTTTTGGAATGTTTTAAAATCAAGATCTTTGGTAGGAAGCCCCACCTTTACCTTCCATATCATAAGTTTTATTCCTGGTGATTTTCATTCACTTCTTTTCTAATCACCACAGTAATTGCCTCTCTGAGAGTTTTCTGTTTTGCTGAGGAAATTTTGGTACTTGGACAATAGGCATCTTTAAGGTGGGAGTGCAGTTTACAAAATATTGTGGCAACACCGTACATATTCTATCACTGTTGTGATACAATATTAAAGAGTAGAGCTTTCTTATTTCATGACATCACAATGTCTGTCTAATCATTTTGGCATCATGATGGTTAGGAATGGATCCTTGTTATTTAATAATTTCTTCCTTGATTGCACTTTATTTGGTCCAGGAATTACATTTCTCTTTGGACACATGAATTCTTTGGCTTTTGAAATCCTGTTTCAGGAGAGTAAAAATTGTGGCAGCACTTTCCTCATTCTGATTATGTTAATCAGGTGTCTCTTCTTGAAATACATAGTATGCTGTGATTTCTTTATCTTCTTGGACTGACTTAAATACATGTGAACTAAATAAAAATATTAATAATAGTGTAACACTATAACATCTGCAAGTTCAGTCTGTTACGTTTATCTGCTGCCTTTCTGAGAAGGGTGTCTGCTTGACATAAACAACAGTGTAATTTCATCTCACTACCTTTATTTGGTGTTACAGATAACATGTTAAAGCCAATGCAGATGTGTTCTTTAACAGTTGCTGTATTCCCTTGTATCTTGATGTTATATACCTATCCTATATTCTTTAACTATAATTAACTATTCACCTATATACATAATAGAAAGAAACCACACAATATAGTTATCTGCAGCTGTGGATTTGTAAGTGGCTATCTGTGCATTACTTCCACTACCAATTTGTATCTGTTCAATGTAGCAAGAAAGAAAATGCCTAATTTTTCACTGAAACACTGTTCTGCCACAGCTGCTTGGGAACTCTAGCTGGCAAATATGGTTTTGGAACTCTTATTAGTTAAGACAGACAGGGGTACATTACCAAACTACAGAATAAATATTGGATTGCCATTTGTGTTCTCCCTAGATCTACATTTGCTAGTGGATGTGGCTTGCAAGCAAGAACATTTTCCAAAGGAAGAAGAATTAAGGGAGTAAGAAGTTGGTGGAAAGTATGTACAAATGCAGAGCAGTAGCCAGCTGGGGAAGAGCAGTGGCTTTCATTCCAGGAGTATTTTGGGGACTGTTATGACAAATAAAACTCTCTTCCATTGCTCATTTTTTGTCACACTTGTAAATAATCCCACCACTGTTTTTAATACCTCTTTAATAGCTTTAAATTATTTTTAACCTGTTTCATCTAATTAATAAACTTATTTGTCCAAATCTGTTAAAAGTGGAAAAGCTGTATTTCAAACAGCTGCCATAAATGTCCCCGTAGGATTGTTCAAATTTCATTTGAATACTGTTTATCTCATTTTCTAGTTAATTACACAAGCAGTTTCTTTCTTTCTTCATTTTTCCATCTCTAATAGCTGCTAGATATTTTATGTTAATGGTAAATTCTTGTGTTTTAATAATTTTCTCATTCTAGGGCCAACATAAAACAAATGTTAAGGCATACGTTGTTTTATTGCTTACCTTAAATGTCTTTGCAAGCTTTTTAACTTGTTCAATATGATTTTATTTATTGACAATAGATTTTAAAGAGTAATAACTTTGTACTCAAATGTATTTATGTTGTAATTAGAATACATGCAAATGATGTAACATGATGAGAATGTGTTTTAAGACTATTCTGATTTCCCAGAACTCTGAAAAATGCATAAGGATATAATTCCTCAAAAACTCAGATCAGATAGATCTTTTATTCCATTGACTTTCTGCAATTCCTAGATTTCTTACATCCATTATCTCTCAATGAAAGGCAGGATGAACCAAAGTCAACTACACAAACTCAGCTATAGCCTCATATTGATTTGCAAGATAGTAATATATAATTTTTTGCAAAACTTCCATTGCTTTGATACACTGATTATTTTGAGATAATTCCAATCATTTTTCAGAGGCTCCATTTGTCCATCTATATACATTCAGTCTAATATTAAGATAAGAAAATTAAGTGAAGAATAAAATGCTACACAAGCAGGGAGAATACTTAGCAAGGTCTCTGAATTTTAAAAAATGTAAGAGGTGCTTGTATATCAATCCTGACTTAAATTAAAAATAGGCATTTCGTTCAGGTATGTTGCAGATCGAAATAAATGTTGCAAATGAAGCTCATTCTTTATCATACCTGATCAGACTACAGGAAATAATTGTATTGTAGCATAGCTTTATTAATAATTCAAAATTATTAATAAAGAATATTTAAATGGGCCTCTATTTTTAAGGCTCAGTCTGGAAATGGTGATATTTATATCTTTACATCTGTCTCTAAACTAACTGGAAAATGAGGCCAAGGAGCTGGATCTCCTACCATATTTATAGACTCAGTTATTTGACTCTTAAGCATTTGTAGAAAAGAAAGAATATTCAAACTGGCAAAAGACAAAATAATATTCAAACTATTTAAGAAATCTCTACAATATTGCTTGATGCTAATACTCAGCATAACTCTATCTGAAACAACTTTCTCAGTACTTTCACAGCTTTCAGCTAAAATGTATTCTATTAATAAATAATAAAAAGGATTACTCAAAATAAGTCCAGTGTTTGCTATAGTAATACTTGAGTAGGACTACCAGATTTTCTAGCAAAAATCCAGAAAATAGCTAGACAACAGAACGATAGGTTGAATTTTCTGTATATGATGTCATCTAGTGGTTATCTGGATTTTTGCTGCTTAGGTCTTAATAGTCCTATGGGAGAGTAAAATATTTGATTTTCATTTGAATAAAATTAAGTACTACACTCCACCCTCAAAAGTGTACTACACCCTCAAAAGAGTACTAAAGTGAAAGGACACTCCACATAGTCATTTTAACACTGTATAGTAAGCAATTTAAAAGAAAAAAGATCAGTAACAGCCTAGAAATGGGAGATCTTCATTATAATAAAAAGAACAAATCAAAACATCAAATATCTATATTTTCCTTCTTTGATTTAAAGAAAATTGGCCTTTCTCCATATCTAAATAAAATTATTGCAAAACTGGTTTTCACATGGAGTTCTGTACATTACTGAATACTTGACTTTCTAGTAACCTGAATGCTGTATCCAATGGAATTATACCACATCCTAAATTACAGCTTCAAATGGGTAATCTTGCTTTGAAGTTTCCTGTCTGGCCTGTGGTATTACTCATCCAGCTGATGTCAGAAGACAGTAATAGTTGAATTCCAGATTTCTAAAAATCAGCATTACCTAAAATCTTCCTTGCAGTGGCTATTGGGGAAAAAACAACACAACCAAAATTAAGACTTGAAGAAAAGCTATGGTAGCTGCATATTTTAGTATTCCATTTATAAATCAATCCTTCCTTCAGTGATGAATTTACTGCAGTTCTAATTTCAATGTAATTGAAAGTGTCTTACTAAAAATCTTGAAACACAAGATTTGTCTTAACACATTTGAGCAAATTATTTTCCCCTTTCCATTTCTCTGTACATAATTCTTTGGAAAATGCAGCAAGTGAATCTTGCTCGTATAGTCAGCCAATTCATGTCAAAAAGAGGCAAATGTTAAGTGCAATTTACTACTGAATCAGGAGAGGGAGTCTAAGAACACTGAAAATCACATTCAGGGGGTGGAGTTATTGCCTTTGGCTGCTCCACCCTCACTTTGTGTCAGCAGGTAGAAAGTGCTTGTAGTCCTAGGGGAGGGAAGCCAAGAGCACAAGCTACAAACTACTTTTGCCTTCCAGGAGCTAAGCCAGTTGTGATTTTCGGGAAAGAAGACTTTTTCAAGAGCTCTTCAGAACTTTTCCAGTTCACTTCATCCCACTAGGTCCTGTTTTGCCTTTGAAGAATGATTGCATTGTGTTTTTCATGCAGTCTTCTGATGGATATCTGCTGTTTCAAGCAACTGCCATCCTGCGTGCTGCTTAGATATGCCTACTATGTTTGCTGAAAGAAGGGGAGACAACTCAAATTCAAAAGGAGTTCTCTGAAATTTTCCTGGATTTTTAGCAAGATTTTAAAGTTGTTTTTGGAAGCTAGATTTCAGCCACGCCTGACTCACAAGCCTTCCGCCGGGAGTCAATTTTTCTTTCTGATTCAGACTGTGGAATTTCACATTTACCTGTATAAAGAGTTTCTGTAAGTTTTCCCTACTTCCCTTTCCTTACCTGAAATTTGTAGGTAAGATTCAGAATACATTTTGATAAATGAAATATTTTGTCCAAGATTTTTCAAAAAGCTGCTGGTTTTTTTTCCTCATAGACTTTTAGAAGCAAAACTATGTAATAGGTTTGCATACCAGTTTAAATTTATTTTTTCTTTCTCTGATCAAATGTTTAACTGATAAATTTCTGCGGCTTTTCTACAGCTATAATCACAAGCATGCTTTTTAATGTTTAATTGTGTTAATTTGCATTTAAAGGAAACACATTCTGAGATTTTGCACAGCTATGAAATAAAACACAGGTGTATCTATAGTTGTTTTTCCTGTTTTTTTAGCTTCCAAGTTCTGGAAAACATCTGAGAAATGCCTTTTTTATTTCATAAATTTGGGGAGTCATGGACTATGTTTTCTGTATTAAAAATGACAAACCGCTGGAAAATTCCAACTTAATTTTTTTTTAATTCAACAAAGTGAGGTGCAGGCATTGGAGGCATGCAAATATGAATAAAAGATCAAACAGATGACAATGAGTAAGAAAAACCAGGTTTGCATTCAAATTCCTAAATGCAAGTACATGCATGGTTACTCTGTGCTTTAATGTGTGGCATAAATAGAAACAAAAGACAAAAGTAGTTGGCATTAACAGACAAAAGAATATATGAAAAAGCAATTCATTTTTCAGGAGTCAACAAGGGCTGCTAAGGTCATCTGATATCAGGTTCAGTCCTGGTTGCCATCCTAGGATCTAAAAGCCTGAAAGGATTTGAGAAGCTGATATTGTCTTCCATGGGGAACTGTCTAAAATCAGGTACAGCAGTCTTCCAAGAAGAAACCAAGAGCTCTTCATACCATATGCTATTCATGCCTCATTGGTTTTTCTCATCACCATGTCTGAATTTATCTGGAGGAGGAGGAGGAGGAGGAAGACCTGATCTGGGGCTCTTATAATCTTGTGAAGCTCAAGGATTTTACAAACACGTGGCATGAAGAAACTTTGAGAAAAGGGGGAGAGGAAAGCCTGGAAGAAGCTCCAGGTAACTACCCTTTGCTTCTTGTTTGCCCCATTGACTGCAGTTGCACAGAGGACTATAATCCTCAACAATTTTACCAGTTGTTGGAACCTGCTGGTGGGGTGAGGACACATTCCTGAGCAGTATGTGTGGCCAGAGCACACTGCTGCAGCTGGGAGCATGAGTGTTGGCCCCCAGCTACAGCTGGCAGTCCTCTGGCCTTGGCTGCTAATGGCTATGCTGCAGATACGGCTAGGCTACTCAGGACTGGCACTGGTGGCAGCAATGGAAGCTGAGCGGACTTTGGCCCAGAAGGCAATAATTCGGGTAATTCCTTTCAAGCTGGAACCCCTCACACTGGAAGGAGTCTTTGCTAGCATTGCAGAGATCACCCCTGCTGAAGGCAAACTGTTGCAGGTAAGCCAATCTTTATTCTGTTACACTTGTTCACTCCCATGCAAGATCTGCTGGCCACAGTGGGGTTTTATTTTGCTTTGTAACTGAAACCATCAAGTAGAAACCATTAGCCCACCTTATAGCTTCACAAAGCTTTCCTCATTGTATCCCTTTTTATAGCTATTCTTCAGCTAAGCAAACATAAATGAATGGGCAGGTGCACATGGTTGTTCCCAGGGACATTTTAATTTTGTTCTGTATGAATGAAATACAAAGGCATGAACTCTCAGAGGCACTCTCATTGGACCCATGATTTTGGTTTTACCTCTGCTTATTTTATATAAAAAATCCTGTTCCCTTGGTTCCTTTTAGGAATGTATCAAATTGAGTAATTTCCACATGTTACTGATCTTACCATGCCTTTCAGAAAGTGCTTCAAGTGACAACCAAACCTCTTCTTTCCCACAATCACTCAGGAATGTCAGTCTTGGATTCTCTTACTTTGATCAGAGAGAGATGCTTGGAGGAACTTTCCATAGTTTGAGAAGAAGAACCAACTGGAAAGACTGAATGAATTTCTCTGTTGTGAAGTTCAATCTATTGTGATGGCAGTTTCTGGCCTGACTTCATGTGCCATCTTGTCTTGTAACCTGTGACTCACCTTGCAGGGTCCTCACATGACTTGAAATAATTGTTCACAAGCAGAGTGGTGCAAAACTCAAGCAATGTCATATTATAGAAAATGCAGATAATTAAGTAGCTGATGCCTTCTAGTGGTAATGTTCAGGGTGAAGTTGAAATAGCAAGGGTGTTGGAATGATTGGTTAGATTGAATCAATCAGTTTCAGGATACTCTGCAGGAGAATGGAGAGAGAAAAGAACTTGACAGTGTTATTAGGGATTGATGAATTGTCAGAGTACGTTGTATCAAGGCACTGCAACTGTTCTGGTTGGTTTCTTCTGTGAGGTTCTGGTTGGTTTCTTCTGTGAAGTTAATTCAAATCACAAGGCAAAAAAATACATATTGCACACTACCTTTGTATCTTATCATTTAGGAAAGACGACAGCCCACTGATAGATCACCCAGTTTGCAAGGAAACGATCCCCAATCATGTTCCTGATATATCTAGTTCAAATGATCTCAGTTGGAACAGAAAAAGAGTTCCCACCTGAGAAAACTCCAGTTGAAAAAACTGGGGATATCCTCTGACTACATAAAGCAACTCTGTTCATATTAACATGTGTCCTTTTTGAAATAGGCATAATTCAATGACAGGATTTCTTCCTAGGATGACAAATGTATGAACTACTCGCTAACAAAACCTATTAAATGTATGTGAGTAACAAGGAAGGAATAATCTCTGCCTTAGATCTTGTAATCTGCTACCACCGCATAAAACAGGCTCATATGCTATTTTTGAAAATATAATCATAGTGTGTGTCAGGAAAAGTAGTCTTTCATATTTGCAGTATACATTGTGGCCTCAAACTGACAGGGATGTCTACAATATGAGTCCTGATCCTAAATCCTTTTCTAGGTAATTCTGAGAAAATCACAATCATTCTGGTCCCAAAGTGTATCAATTAGAAACACACTGTTAACAGATCTTAAAATAGGACTTATCCAAAAACCAGAAGTCAGAATAAGGTGTATTTTCTTGTACATGCCGTTTCAAATTTTAAAGGGCTTGAGCCAAAAAATTAAGAGATGACATTTTCTGACCATCTTCATTGCTGTACAAGTATAATTATTCATGATTTTATATCATACTTTTCTATCCAATCTCTTTCCAAGTGTTCCATATGCTATTATTGTAAATAGTATTTTTCTCTTTTATCTCTATAAGCTGTGAGGAAAGTTAGCCTGAAACGGTGACCAGCTTGAGGTCATTTCAAATTATAACACTTCATAGTAACAGCAGTACCTCTGTGTGCACAGCAATTTACAGAGTGGACAAGGACATCCTTGCTTAACCAAGGCATGCAGCATACCCAAATAGGAAAAAAAGGAAGTAGAGGAAGTGACATAATACGGAATTTTTCAAAATATATTTTTTTAAGTTTAATTACAGAGTTAGGTTACAGTAAGATACAAAAAGGAGAAAATTATAATTAACTTTTTAACATTTTAAGCCCATATTGAGAATGCTTCAGTTTGTGATGTAATACTGTAATAGAAAGTGGAAGGAATTTCATATACCTATAGATCAGCATCCTGAACTTAGCCAGTTAAAGTCTGTTAGTTTTCTACAGTCTGCTCCACCTAACTGTAAGTTTGAGTAGTTTATTTATTTAAGGTAATCTGAATCTGTTTTCAGGTAGCTACATGGGCCATATTCAATGCTCTGATCAGTTTAGATATATTTATGGCCTCAAACTGAGGTGATGCCCTTTGTATAATTTACCATGAATAATTGTAAAAAATTATCATGGCTATTACTTAATATGTCTTAAGAGCAGTTTCCAAAAGAAGATAGATTATGTATGGATCCTAAAATTACTAAAAAGGACTATTCGTGTATTAGCTAATAAAAAGCGAAACTGCAATGCCTAAAGGGGAAAAAATTGAAAGGCAAAAAGAGTTTCAAGTGGGGTTATTTTTGGAGAACTATTGTACCACAATTGTCAAAATTCTGCTTTATAGGCTGACAGTGGCATTATTCATTTGATTGTAACTCAAGACCATTTTGGATTGCATAAGTGAAAGCAAGTATCTTGAACTCTATCTAGAAGAAACAAATAGCTGAACCAGCTGAGCAGTTATTTTGTAGATACAGATTTCCATTTCCAGATGTTTCAAAGCAAACAGCTATGATTTTTCAGGTTAAGTGAAGTTTCTGAGAAGTCTTTTAGGGGCAGCTTCATTAAAAACACTGTCATATTGCATCCTGGATGTTAGATATTAAATTATTTAAGATTATCCCAGAGGAGAAGGCAATTGATTTGGTGGATGCAGGGGGTGTCCTTTTTGTATCAGAAGAGGAAGAAGTTGCCATGCAGGCACTTCTTCTGAGGAACCAAACCCTGTTACAGTTTGAAAACTGACTTGCTGAAGGTAGATAGTTTACAACTGCCAGATTGAGAGATTTTATTATATTGACCAGCTCCTTGTGTGGAGAATTAATAGTTTAGCTTGGTGTGAAGGCAAATGTCAATGTGGCTAAGGAAAAAGAGAGACGTCCACCATTTCACTGGGCAACTGGCACCAATAGACTATCTCCTCCTAAGTTAGATGTTCCTCATGGAAAAGGCAGAAGAGTGGAAGGTGAGAATGAATGGCAAATGTTCAAGTTATGGTGCATTTAGAAACAGAAGGGATCCCAGTAGGTGATCAGCCACTAGAAGTTGAAAGCTCAATAGGGGAGTGAACTGACAGTTGAGTTAAGACCAAAGGGAAAAGAATAAGGGAAAATATCTCATAGTCTCTAGGTCAGTAACGCAATATCTTTGAAATAACACCACCACCACTTGCTAATCTGGAGACAAAAGAAATATCTGCAGAATGTAATGTGGCCATGAACCTGAGACTTGCTAAGAGTCAGTTATAGACATGGACTGTGGGGCTTATCCATCTTCATGCAATCAACATTCAGATGGTCCCCAGGAGAATCAGTAGCTGACCATTAAAGGAATGAAAGTTCAAGTGTTGCTATCTGTAGAAAGGAGTACAGAACAGAAAAGGAATTGAGATAAATAAAAGGAACAGCTGAGAGGAAAGAAGCATAAGGGATGGGGTAGGGATTTAAACAGGCTAAATTTGAAGCCCAAATTCTCAATGGGAGTTTAAAACAATATGTAGTGTCATTTTAAGTCAGGCTGGTGGTAGTCCCATGTTATAATAGTCTTTGGAGAAAAGAGAAGAGAGAATATCATAAATCATTTTTTATTATACTCTACATTCGTGTTGCATCATAGAAGTTGGTATGTCTTGAAACAGCTGACCTTCGAACATCATTTGTCAGCTGTGACCAGGGGGGCATTTGCCCAGGTTCGCCTGGTACACCAGTTGCGTCCCTACCTGAACCGGGAGGCCCTCACAACAGTCACTCGTGCCCTTGTGACCTCTAGGCTGGAATATTGCAATGTGCTCTACATGGGGCTGCCCTTGAAGAGCATTCGGCGACTCCAGCTAGTCCAGAACGCGGCCGCGCGAGCGATAGTGGGTGCACCTCGGTTCACCCACGTAACACCTATCCTCCGCGAGCTGCGCTGGCTACCTGTTGATCTCCGGGTGCGCTTCAAGGTGCTACTTATCACCTATAAAGCCCTTCATGGTAGTGGGCCTGGGTACTTGAGAGACCGCCTACTGCCAATTACCTCCACCAGACCGATTCGATCGCATCGATTAGGCCTCCTCCGAATCCCATCTTCTAGCCAGTGCAAACTGGCAACTACCCGGAGGAGGGCCTTCTCGGTGGCTGCCCCGTCCCTTTGGAACGAACTCCCCGTGGAGATTCGGACCCTCACCACCCTCCAATCCTTCCGCGCTGCTGTAAAGATCTGGCTGTCCCGGCTGGCCTGGGGCTAAGATTATAGCCCCACTCGAATTGTGTGATTGTTGCGTTTTTCTCTTTTAATATGCTGTATTGTTTATTGTTTGTTGTTTCCCCCTCCCTTTTGAATTGTGAGCCGCCCTGAGTCCCCTTAGGGAAAAGGGCGGCATACAAATAAAGGCAAAAGCAAAAAAAAAAGCAAACTGGATAAAATTCCATTTCTTCCAATTTTGTATTTAAAATATATAGAGAGAGCTTGCAATCCAAAGCTACATATGTAGCTTTGGACTGCAAGCTTTTAGCCAGGAATAAACCTGCAGAATTGGAGGTGTGCATCCTGATGCCAAGACAACCTAAGTGTCTAATATAAACTGGACAATCAAAAGGCTGGTTTATAACAGATATAATAATCCACAAGAGTTTCATCACTATAGCAACAATATAAAATGTTTTGCCATAGTTTTAACCCCCACCTTTTCATTTCTATGTATTCATGCTTTTTTACCTATCTCAGTTTATACTTTCATT